GGGGGCTGTGGGGAGGGGGTCCCACCTGGTAGCGGAAGGTGGGGGAGGGGGCTGTGGGGAGGGGGTCCCACCTGGTAGCGGAAGGTGGGGGAGGGGGCTGTGGGGAGGGGGTCCCAGGTCCCATCTGGTAGCGGAAGGTGGGGCAGGGGGCTGTGGGGAGGGGTCCCAGGTCCCACCTGGTAGCGGAAGGTGGGCCGCAGCTGGTAGTTGACCATCTCCTGGTGGAAGACGGGGGTGAGGCTGCCCGAGAGGGGGGGCACGATCCAGGCCCAGTCCGCGGGACACCCCCCCCGCGCCCGCCCCTCCGCCGCCAGGTGCTTCACGAACGACTCGGTGGCCGCGTGGTGGTCCACGATGGTCACCTGGGCCACCTGCGGGGACAGGGGGGCGATGGGCACTGGGCCACCCGCAGGGACAGGGGCTGGGGGCTCCGGGAGGGAAGGGTGTCCCCCATGGCGGTGTGGCAGCGGGGGGGCCCTGGGGGTGTCGGGGTCCGTGTGACGTGGTGACGGGGGTCCCGGTGCCGTGGGAGTCCCCGTGGCGTGGCAGTGTGGGGGTCCCGGAGCTGTGGGAGTCTCAGCATCGTGGCGGTGGGAGGTTCCCCGTGACACGGTGGGAGGTGTCACGGAGGTGTGGGGGTCCCCCTGGTGCGGCAGTGGGGGAGTCCCCAGGGCAGGGTCCCAGCAGTGCGGGGGTCCTGACAGGGGGGTCCTGGCTCTGGGAGCTGCCCTGGCTCTGGGAGGTGTCCTGGCACTGGGGGGGTCCCGGAACTGGGGGGGTCTCAGCACTGGGGGGGTCCCGGCAGGGGTCCCACCTGGAAGCTGTGCAGCACGGCCACGTTCACCTCCACGGCCGCCCGGTCCTTCCAGAGGGAGGAGCTGGTCCCCGTGTCCAGCCCCATGCGCTGGGCCACCTCCTGTGGGGGGGCAATGGAGGGAGGGGTCACTGGGGGGGTCGGACGGGGGGCTCAGCCGGAGGGCGTCAGCCAGTGGAGTCCTTGTGGGGTCCCCGAGGGGTCCCACGGGAGCTTGGCCCAAGGGTGCAAATGGGGTTCCAGTGGAGGTCCCAGAGGAGATTCTGGAGGGTCCTGGGGTATCCCAGTGGGGGGTCCCAAAGGTTCCCAATGGGTTCCTAGTGGAGTCCTTGGGGTCCCAAGAAGGGTCCCGGTTGGGTGCTGGGGAGTGCCAGGCGTGGTCCCAGTGAGGTCCCGGGCTGTGCCAGGGGGTCCCAGTCAGGTCCTGGGGGGGTGGTCCCAGGGTGGTCCTGGGGGGGGGTCCCAGTGCGGTCCCGGGGGGTGCTGGGGAGGTTCTGGTGGGGTCCCAGGGGTGCAGGGGGCGCGGGGGTCTCACGGGCAGGATGTTGTAGCGGTGGCGGTCGCAGAGGTTGCGGGAGCCGATCTCGGTGCCCATATACCAGCCGTTGAACGGGGCCGCGGGGAACTCGAGCCCCCCGATCTCCAGCAGCAGGTTGGCCACGGCTGGCAGCGCGTGCCAGCGCAGCCCCAGCTCCGAGAACCACTCCAGCCTGGGGGGGGCACGGGGGGGCTGCAGCCAGACCCTCACGGACCCACATCTGCCCCACGCTGGCCCCACCGTGGGTCCCCAATCTCCACCCCACCTGCACCCCAGTATCCCAGTACCCAGCCAGGGAGGGAGTCAGCAGACCAGTATCCCAGTCAGGGAGAGGATCAGCATCCCAATATCCCAGTGTCCAGCCCGAGAGGAGGTCAGCAAACCAGACTCCCGGTATCTCGTGCAAGGAGACCAGCAGAGCAGTATCCCAGTGACAGAAGGGACCAGAATCGCAGCATACCAGCCCGGGAAGGGGGCAGTATCCCAGTATCCCAGCCCAGGAAGGAAGCAGTATCCCAGTATCCCAGCCAGGGAGGGGGTCAGCAGACCAGTGTCCCAGTCAGGAATGGGATCAGCCCCACAACAGCCCCACGTCCCCAGGGGGGGTCCCCAACCTCCATGCCCCCTCCATCCCCTCTCGTCCCCTCCATTCCCTCTCCA